TTACTAAGTCTAAACTTAACTTTTCTAGAAGTAGAATTCATAATTCAAACATTGTGAATCTCAATTTTAAAGTCTTTTAATTAATTGACCGGGAATTTGAATTTTACAAATTTGCTAATTAGCAAAAAAGCTGTTGAAGTACTTTGAGTATGTTAAAAATTTAAAACTAAATTTCACTTTTTTTAATATTTTTTTATTTTAAATTACACAATAAGTATTATATATATATAATTGAGAATTAGTAAAGCAACAAAGGAGTAATTTAGAAGCCAAAATAGCAATTAAGTGGAACACTGATAAAAAGCCACTAAAAGCACTAGAGATTAGAAAATCCATTTAAGTTTAACCACATTGGAGATTGGATTATAAAGTGTTAGGAATCAAAAACGATGAGACCCTTTAACTAATGTTGCCAAATTTGTGGGGAACAAAAGATGAGATAGACAAAGACAATTAGAACCAAATAAAAAGAGTGTGAATGGGATCAAACTCAATTGAGGTTCAACAAAGATGGCACTCCAATCTTCAAATTTTCACATGATCAAAATAGTAAGGTCTTCCTGAATTCATACTAAGGTTTGAAGGTTCTGCCGATGGAATGCACCAAAATCCAATACTTACTAATTTTGCTTTATTCAGTACTTACACGACTGTCTAAAGCCCATTTTGGTATCAGACGTATTAAAACTCAATATGTACAGTTTTTTCCTGGCATCAGTCAACCATGAAACTGAGTGGTCTCTAACTTAATCTTCCAAATGTATAGTTTTACCATGAAAATACCATCTTGTATTTAAAAAAAAAAAAAAATTAGAGTACATGCATACATATTATTATCAAGCACAATGTACAAATACAATTTCACAGAGATTTGAAGAAAAATTACATACACAAAGTCGAACTAACAATCTAAAAGTTGAACTACCTCAGTTAAGCCTTATAGGAGTATGGTTTTTATAGGTGTTTTTGTTTTTTCCACTTGATTGAATCAAAACTCTACTCTTCATTTTAGAGATTCAAATTTTAAGATCCACTGAAAAAAAAAAAAAAAGAAAAAGAAAAAGGATCAACTAAAAATTTCATGCTAGAACACTTTTTCTTTAATATTCAATTTGCACATTACACAATACATGAAACCAAATTACTACATAAGAAACACAGTTATTTTTATTGCATATTCCACATTCTACAATAATAATAATAATAATGAAGTTTGTAAGTTGAAATCTAGGTCGAAACAGGGGAATAAGTTACAAATGTTAAGTCTAGTATTCAGAATATGCTTGAATTGTAAGTAGAATACAAAGGCTACGGTAGGATGGAGGTCATTGTCCCTCGTTGTCTATGGTTTTAGGTAGCACGATAAAGCAATATGCATTGGTTGCCAAGTAACGCCAAGAAATAAATGCCTTAATTAGGCATTAAGATCTTAAAGTTGCATTGTCATCAAATGCACCCTTCTTATACAATCAATTACCGTGTATAATGCACCATAAGTCTTAGTTATATAGATGGATTGAATACATCGAAAATGATGATTGGGTACGAGGACCATGGGGAAGAAAGAAAGATAAGACAATTAGTAATGAAGTCTTGATCCAATGATTAAAGTACAGTCGTGTGTTAGAATTTGAATTTTTATATTTTTTTTATTGTGTTAGAGTAAATGATTCATATTTGAAAAAAAAAAAAGTATATATTCAAATTCTTATTGTGAAAGCTTTTTAAATTAGTAATAAAATTATTTCAACTACTAAAATTTCACAATTTAAATTCTTATATAAAAAATTATTTTTTAAAAAATAAAGTCAGTCTTGTAATATTAAGTTTATAATTATGTATGAGGAAGCATTCAATGATACATTAAGAAAACATTTTTTATTACCGTTTATGTTAGACCAATGAATGCATGCTTTGAAGTTTGAATTGATCAAAAAACATGATTTTTTCTTACGCCTGATTTGTCCTTCACTTACTAAATAATCAAGAAGTCGGCATCAAAATTAAGTAATTAATTAATTAATTTCTGTGGAATTGTTGCATATAATATGATACAGAGAAAAAAAATGGAAAGGCATCTATTAATTTGAATTGATTACACAAATTACAGAAGTCCATCCATCATATACAAAAGCTAATCACTGCTTTCCTACTTCTTCTTTTTTTTTTTTTAATTTCATTTTGATGTAAAAAGGACCTAAACGAGACAATGGGGTTTTCCCTTTATTTTTATTTTTTTAATCTTTTGTAAGTTTCATGAAAAATATCAAATTCTCATCGCTAAATCCCATATTATGTCCAAAAATCTTGATCCAAAACCATTCCTGAGCACTGACTGAGGGAAGAAGTATGACCATGATCAACCGCTAGCTTCGTGTCATGTTGAGTACTATCATCACTAAGTAGGAATTCCCAATTGCTCATGAAATCCTCATCCCAAAATCCACACGGCAAGTCAAAATCAGGAAATTTCAAGTCTTCAAGGAACTTAGAGGAATCAGAGGAATTAGAGGGTGATGATGAAGAAGTTGATGATGATGAAGTAGGGACCAAAATCTCATTGGGTTCAATTAGTGGAACCTCATCTATGCAGAATTCATTGTTTATGATTTCCATTGTGCATGTCATGCTTTTGTCTTCCTCTTTGTCATCAGTGATAGTGGATTGTAAGGATGTCTCAGCTGAATCCTTGATTTTGTCTTCTTCCTCTGCTTCGGTCAAGGAACATTGTTGGTTCTGTTCTAGTTGGTGCTGCTGGGGTTGTTCAATTGTGGAGAGTGGCTTGTGGGTTTGAGGATCAATGCCCATTTTCCTCAGTTTCTTTTTGATGTGGGTATTCCAATGGTTCTTGATCTCATTATCAGTTCTTCCAGGGAGATGAGATGCAATTTTAGACCATCTGAAAACCATGAAATTGGAAACTCTTACTTTTAGTAAAAAGAAAGAAAACTTGGGTGATAAAGTATCATAATGATGTAAATTGGGGACCACTTGTGAAAACAAAAGACAAGTTGCCACTAAAATGTCAATATCAAAGAAGTTTGTGGTAGCGAAGCCTCCTATTGCTTGGAAAGTATTCAAAGGAAAATAATATATTATTCCACGAGAAAATTTTCTTTAAGTTCGGAATAACGCAAATAAAAAATAAAAAATAAAAAATAGACAATCATAATCCTTTAATGTAAGACTAGGCATTTGGTTTAAATTGTTTAAAACAAACTAAATTTTTAGTTTTTAAAAATAATATTAGATAAGACTTTTATATTTAATACGAATCAAATTTTTAATTTGGTTATGATTTTAATTATTTGAAATTATTCAAATCATATAGTTAATTAATTAAAATAATTGAAATATACCATTGTTCTTAATTTTTTTGTCAATAAAAGTTTTTTCTTTTTAGTTTTGATTATTTCTAGTCTTTTTCTTTATATTCTTATTTATAAATTTGACTAAAAAAATTATCTAAAAAAAGTTTTATATAGCACAAAAACTAAAATTAAAAAATAAAATAAAATAATATTAAAAATTTTGGATATTTTGGTGATTTGAATAGATAATTTTAGATATGGCTCAATAACCATATTTAAATCAAAATTAATTTCAATTATTTTAATTTTATCCAAATTTATTTAAATATTTGAAATATTCGAATTAAAATTCAAAATTTTGAATCATAAATTTATATAATTTAATAATATCCAAAATGTACCCACCCCTACTTAAATGTAGCTGTGGAACACTTATATACGAAGAACTTATATCCAAATGTCAAGAAATAAATAGTACTTGAGAGAGTTGGTCTACATTGGGAAAAGAAAATTGGGAATTTGAAGATGATGGATTTTGAATGATGAAAATCATTTCAAACACAGAGTTGGTCCATGACAAAGAAATTTTTTTTTTTTTTTGGTAACATGGTCCATGACAAAGAAATTGATAACCATTGTTGAACTTTAATGAAGTTTAGTAGTAAAGGTGAAGAGGTAAAGGTGAAGAGAGATTAAAAAATGAGAAAGAGAAAACAAGAACCTGTTGCCAAGCTGAGCATGAAGATCAATCACCATTTTCTCTTCATATTCAGACAAAAGGCCTCTCTTTAGGTCTGGCCTAAGATAATTTGTCCATCTTAGCCTGCAACTCTTCCCACACCTCAACAATCCTGCAATGGCACCCATCATTTCCTTGTAATTAATTTCAGAAATGGAAGAAAATCAAAATCTCACATAAAAGAGAGAGAAATTTGAAGGTAATGAAAATTGTCCATATTGGAGGAGGGGGAAGAGAGACCTGCAAGCTTAGGAACAGCTCTCCAACAGCATTGGCCATTGGTGACGATGAAGTTGATGAGCTTCTTATCTTCCTCTGCAGTCCATGGCCCTTTCTTCAACCCAACTTTGTCACAACAAGGCTGCCTTCCCATCCTAATTTCAAAACACAACAACGGAATTGGAAGCAAAGAATTATATAAATAAAAAGGTCTTGATTACGGTGGAACAGAGATAACAGAGCACTCCCCTCCCCCCCTTCCTTATATAAAGAAATCAACCTCATATACAGACACTTTTTCATCTGGCCCATGTTTGAATTTTTTTAATTTTATAATATTCAAGACTTGTACACAGGGGATATCTACCCGGGTTGGAGTTGGATTCTGTTTGTCTGGCTCTGCACACGTGTAGGCCGGTGAGGCAAGGCGAAGCACTAGGGAAGAAAACACTGACTCATTCACCTTTCTTTATGTTTACTCACTCCCTTGGAAAGTACAAGCAATTAAAAAACAAACACCCAAGTCCAAATTTAATTACTAGAAATTAAAATTCCGGTTGTTTTCAACAGCCTTATGGTCCAACTAAAATAGGCAAAAACCTGTTTTTAACCCCTCATCTTGTCAAGTTTGAAGGTTTTAATCCCTCACCTTATATTATGATATTTTAACCCCTCACCTTTTTAGATTTGTTGGTTTTAGCCCCTCACCTTATATTATGACATTTTTAGCCTCTCACCTTACTAGATTTGTAAATTTTAACCCCTCATCTTATACTATGATACTTTTAGTCCCTCACATATTAAAATTGAAGAAAATAACCCTTATTTTATACATTATGTTAGTTTTGTTAGCTGACTGTTAACTCTATTAACTAATTATTAATTGACTATTAATTGTCAAAAACTTTTTTTCGCGAACAAAGTTAACAGAGCTAATTTTATAATATTTCATTAATTCTGTTAATTACTATTAGTTGACTGTTAGTTGATAAAAATCTACTTTCAACTAACAAAATTAACAGTCAGTATAAAATGAGAGTTATTTTCTTTGATTTTAATATGTGAGGGATTAAAACTTACAAATCTAGTAAGGCCATGGGTTCAAAGTGTCATGATATAAGGTAAATGGGCCAAAATCTTCAAATTTAATAAAGTGAAGAGCTCAAAATAGGTTTTTGCCAAGAAAAATGGACTGGTCC